CATGGATTGGTTTCTCTAGTCTAGCCAGAGGAACACAATCCCGCTCAGTTGCGGTCACACCCTGAGTCTGGAGGGGACGCTGGGGGAGGGGGTGGGCCCCCGCGGGGAGCGATCGCAGGGCTCCGATTGATTACCTCCGGATCATGTTCCGGGTGTACCAGACGGACGGGCACGACTCCTTCAGGACGGACCTGTAGCTGCGGTTCAAGTCCCGGCCGGCCAGGGAGCAGCGGTAATTGCCCACGACCACGCCGTCCGGGTTCAGCATGGGCACCACCTTGAAGATGAACATGTCCCGGAGCAGCTGCGCGTCGCGCGAGGCACCCAGGAGGTAGTCCAGGAAGCCCTTCATGATCCAGGAGCTGTTGGTCTCCCCCGGGTGCACCCGCGCCGTCAGGACCACCGCCTTGCGCTGGTGCGGCTCGGCGCTGCTCTTCCAGGGCGTGGTGATGGTCAGCACGTACACCATGTTGCGGGCCAGCGTGTGGCACAGCACGCGGATTTTGCAGAACTTGGAGCGCACCGGGTCGCTGTGCACGCCGGACAGGTATTCCTGCAGGTTGCTGTAGGTGTAGGGGTAGCAGTGCGCGAAGTAGCAGGTGTCCTGGCTGTGTGGAAACTGGAAGGTCCAGGTGAGCGAGAAATAGTGGCGCCCGTCTGGCTCCGGGTGGTTCTTGTAGTACTTGATTTGGTCTCCGATCCTCTTCCAGCCCACGCGGTGGGCCTCGGCGTCCTTTTCCGAGTAGAAGAGGGGGCGCATGCCCCGGTTGTAGAGACTGGTGGGCTTGGTGAAGTTGACGATGGTGAATCTGTAGGCGACCCCTGCCTGCGTATTGGTGACTTGGAAATAGTACCACTGGGTGTGCTTGTTAGTGAAGAGGTCCGGGCGCAAGGTCAACTGGTATTCGTGCTCTGCCCTGGGGCACAAGGAAGAAAGGAAGTGAGCACATCTTAGGTAGAGATGTTGGTTAAGCTTAAATGAAATAAGGACGATTCATGTCCACTTACTTATTCATAGAAGGCCTTTCAAAAGACACCTGTACTTGAGCAGTACCCAGTAGGAAGTAACCGTAAAAGACAAACATCGTGACGTCCTTGTCTTGGCTATGAAACCATTTCTATGCCAATTCTAAAGAAAGGCTTACATTGTTTTATCATTTAAGAGAACACACAGGACTTCAGCATTGAATAGGAGATATTTCAACTCACTTATGCTTCCTATTACAAAAAGATGAATTATTAACACAGGAAAAAAGTCTAATGTTTATGTATTTTTGCTTCAAACATATATTTCTCTTCTCCCCAAACCAAACTCACTGCCAAAGAATCGATTCCAATTCACAGCAAACCCGTCGGACAGGGTAGAACTGCCCCCTGCGGGTTTCTAAGGCTGTCACTCTTGATGGGAGTAGACAGCCTCCGTTTTGAACTGCTGATCTTGTGGCTAGCAGCCCAATGTGTAACCAATAATTCGAGAGCTCTAAAATAACCATATTTTAGAAATATTTAATAACACATTTAAACGGATATGATCACGTACAGTATAAAATTTTGAGCTCCTTAAGGGCAAGGACAATATTGATAATTATTTGCATTCGCCTACTTAGCCTATCAAAGAAGTTCAAATCAAGACAAAAATAATACTCTTATTGCAACCTTACTGATACACGAGGGTAAATAAAAAAGTATTGCTGCCAAATCCATAGAAACTTGTGT